CTTTTTGTAGAGATGGGGCTTCACCATGTTGGCCAGGCTGGTCTCCTGAGCTCAAGCCATCTGCCCGCATTAACCTCCCAAAGTGCTGGGACTACAGGCATGAGCCACCGCACCGGCCCAATTACCCATTTTAGAAAAGTATTAGGATGCATGTTTAACATCAATTAAGTTACATTTGTGTGACCATACTCGTGAAGACCCACCTTACAAAGCGTTGTTTCTGACACCCTGGTCTGTTCAAAATCCACTCGGGGCCGCAGTGAGGGTCTGAACGGGGGACCTGTGTTGCTGTTCCCTGCCACCACCCAGGGTCCTCTGCTAACTGCTGACCCCTCCCAAGGCTCCAAGGCCCTTCCCAACACTCCAAGGGCCTGACGTCTGCAGCAGTGTGTGTGGGACCCCCAGGTGCCCCGTGACGGCCGATAGCTCTGAGCCCCTTCTCTGGACTTCTGGGCTTCCAGTGCATCCTAAATCTTCCTCTGCTGTGACAGGGACACCACGGGGCCCCCGGAATGACCCAGGCTCTGTTCTCGGAGCCCTGTAAGCAAGCACAGGCTGTGGGGTGGAGCAGCTGCCCAGGAACAGCCATGTGGGGCCTCTTGAGCTGGGAAAGGCAGGAAACAGATTCCCCTGAGGTCAGCACCTTGACTTCAGCCCGGTGAGACCCATCCGGGACCTCCGGCTCCATGATTTCCACCTGCCCGGTGAGACCCATCCTGGACCTCCGGCTCCACGATTTCCACCTGCCCGGTAAGACCCATCCTGGACCTCCGGCTCCACGATTTCCACCTGCCCGGCGAGACCCATCCTGGACCTGTGGCTCCATGACTTCCACCTCCCCGATGACACCCATCCTGGACCTCCGGCTCCATGATCCGGCTCCATGACTTCCACCAGCCCGGTGAGACCTATCCTGGACCTCCAGCTCCATGATCCGGCTCCATGACTTCCACCAGCCCGGTGAGACCTATCCTGGACCTCCAGCTCCATGATCCGGTTCCATGACTTCCACCAGCCCGGTGAGACCCATCCTGGACCTCTGGCTCCATGACTTCCACCTGCCCGGTGAGACCCATCCTGAACATCAGCCTCCACCATAACCACCTGCCCGGTGAGACCCATCCTGGACGTCCTGCTTCACGACTTCCACCAGCGTGGTGAGGACCGTGCTCAGGGTGGTGGGCAGCTCTCCCCTCTGCCCAGGCCCCACTGTGGCGCCACTGTGCAGACAGAACACGGAGACCGTGGATGGTGGGCTGCTGGTGGGGTCTGCCCCACGTCATAGCTGACCCCGTGTCGCTGTCCGAGCCCTGCCCCTTCCAGGCTGGTGCTTACTTCCTGGTGGGCTCCTGGAGGCAGCCGCAGTGGCCACTGGTGGCAGGAGGAGAGAAGCCGCCACCACCTGGTGAGACCCAGAGGCTGCTTAGTGAGCCCCAGGCCATTCTTCACCCCAAGCTTTTCCAGTAAAAAACCAGTTGGACACAAACCACAGACTTGCAGAGGGGCCGTGTGGCCGCTGCTCCTGAGCCTTCCGCCCGCTGCCAAGGGCCAGGAGGGGCTTTGCAGGGCGGGCAGCCTCTGGGGAGGGCAGCACTGAGCTATGCTGTGTGAGGGAGGTGGTGGGGGTGTCAGCCTGTCCATGTCGAGGAGGGTGGTCCTGGTGTCTGCACCTTGAGCGGCAGCAGAGCCCAGGGTGAGTCCCCAAGGGGCGGCTGGCCTGGTGGGAGCTGGCACCCCAGACGGAGCTCAAACCCGAGATGGGCCCCGCACCTCCGCACACCCCGTCCAGGAGGCCCTCCTCCCGTGCCGTCCCCACTGTCCATCTGAGGCCCTCATCCTGCACCTTCTGTCCCAGAGGTCTTCCTTGGGGTTTACTGCCCCCTGCCCAGGCATCCACTTCCGTAGGGAGGGCTGTGACCGTTCCCTGCACATCTGCTGGGTCAGCACCCACAGACCCCACCCGGGACGCTGTCTGTGGCTTCTCCATCTCCCGCCCACCAGGAGCGGCCAGGCCACGTCGGCCATCAGCTCCCCAGTTCTGAGTGAAGGTCTCCAAGGATCCCTGTGAACGTGGGCATTCGGGGGCCTTCTTTCTGCATCCAGTTCCAGATGGGTTCTGCACAAGTTGGGCTGCTGAGGGGCTCAGGGCATTGCTGGCAGCGAAGCGCTCATGTTCCCATCTCAGACACAGGAATCCTGCCATCCAGACCTGCAGGTTCCATCCCTCCTGCCTCCCCAGCTGCTCCCTGGCAGGGGGGCCTGGCTCACAGAGCGGCACCCAAGGACGAAGGTCTGGGTGCCTCTGCTTTCGGTGGGTAGGGTGGAGGGCTGGGGACACGCAGTGGGCGCCAGCAGAGCTGCCACCCCTGCTTCAGCCTCTGTGTGCGTCCGCGTGGGCTCCGCACAGCCTCTCCTGACCGTCTGAACCCGACACTGGTTGCCGAAGACCAGGAGGGACCTGAGGCCTCCTGCCCTCCTGCCTCTCCCAAACTCAGGAAGCAAACTTCCGAGCCCAGGGTGTGGATGCCACGGAGAAGCGGAGAGGCCTGGACGAAGGTGCCATGCGGGGCGCCATCACACACGCTCAGAAGGAAATGGAAACGCCGGCCTTGGCCCCGGGCTCCTCCCTCTCACCGCAGCCTGGGATGTGCTGCCGGCTCCCGGAACGCACCAGGGTTGTCCCCACCTCTGACTTCCGTCTCAGTCAGCCTGGGACACACAGCTCAGAGCCCACCCCAGGGTCACACAGAGGACAGGCTGACGGACCAACAGGAGAGGCTCCCTTGGTTTTCCTGGCCCACCCCACCCCAGGGGGCTTTTTAAAGCATGGCTCCTCTGCCCAGCCCGGGAGCTTCCCCCCAACAGCAGCACCTGGGGCAGCAGGCGGGCCTGCTCACTGCCAGCACTGTGCCCCTTGTGCGCCAGCCCTCAGACTCTGCCACCGGCAGAAGGAGCTGCCTTCCCCCCCCGGCCCCCGACTAGGCCCCTCTGCTCTCCCGAGTGACCGTGGCCTGAAACGCTGCCCAGGACACAGGCTGGCAGCCCCTCTCCCGGGCCCCTGCCGTCCTCCGCAGGCCCCATGGCCGCGACGCCCCGGAGAAGCCCCAGCACCGCCGGCACTGCACGCGGACCCCGTCCCGCCAGGACCTGTGTGCGCAGCCCTGGCCTGGGCCCCGGCCTCCCGGCCTCAGAGCGGGCCTCCTCCCCGCGGCTGCTCGGGTGTCTCAGAGACAAATGCCCAGGGTGCAGACACCATCTGACCCCGTCCTAGAGCCCTCTTCAGCCCGTGCTCTCCCATGGACCCCTGTCCCCCAGCCGAGGCAGGGGTCGAATTACCGTGGGCACAGCCCACAGGCACCTGTGGGGTCCCGGAGGCTGGCGTTGCCCTTGGTTGCTGGATGTGGGCGTGTGCGGTTATGGGGCAGCTGTCAGCTTCTCCGCCAGCACCACCTCCTCCAGCGAGACCTGCTCTCATCTCTGCAAAGCAGGTGGGAGACGAGAGGGAGCCCCCAGCAGCCCCCAGGCTCCCGAATCCCCTCCTTCCTGCCTCTTTTGGAGCAGCCCTTGGCTGAGGAGAGTCTTCCCCTACAACTGCTTTTAAATGAAAGGAGGTAGGGGGTGGGGTAAGTGCCCGCGACCTCATTTCACTGCTGAGATCAGGATGAATGTCACTCCTGTGAAACGCTGGGCTGTCGGAGTTGGGCGAAGGAGCAGTGAGCTGGGGCTGAGGACGAATCAAGGCCACGCGGGGTCCAGGTGAGGCCACTCCTGTGGGCTTAGTGACCCTCCCCGGACAGGCGAGGGGAAAAGGGACACTGTGGCTGGAAGCAGCCCAGGAAGCCAGATCCCAGACACGGCTGAGCCCACACGGTGCCTTTGCCAGGACCCAGGCCACGGCCACCAAAGGAGCCGGCCCAGGCCGGCCTCTGGCTTCCACGTGACTTACCTTGACTTCCTGGAGCCTCACAACCAAATGGCCCAGCTCTTCCTCCCCCGGCCACTGCCACTCTGGCTCCAACATCTGGACCCCCACCAGGCCCTCAGCTGTGAGACCCCACAGAGCCCAGACAGCTCCTGCCAGGACATGGGCCACCAGGGTGCCCCCCCTGCGCAGACCCCTGTGGAGCCATCCCATTCATAAAAACCTGCCTGGAAGCCTGGGGCTGCGGCGCCCTGCCCCAGGGCAGAGAATCACTGCGCACGTGTGGTCCGACTTGGGCCTCTGCAGGGCCGTCCCCAAGGCTGGGACGTCCATTCCCCAGCACATCTGGCAGGGCCCTCACCCCCATCCAGGTGCCCCCAGGGGACCCTTGGCAGTCACGAGAGACAGTGAGGTGAGTGGTCACAGGCCAGGGCCTGGTGCCGCCTGCCCCTCCTCACCCTCCCCGGCCTGGGCTCCTCGGCCATAGCACGTGACAGCTTTGGGACAAGTGGGAGGGCCTGGACCCGGAGCTGTCTGGGATGAGAGCCCCATGGAGGCTGCCTCTAGGCCCTGAGAGGGCACGGCCTGGGGCTGCTCCAGGCTTCCTTCCTGGCTCAGGCTGCAGAAATCTGCACTAGCGGGGGCTTTGCTGCTCCTGAATGCTGCGGGGCACCGTGGCATGGTAATGGGCCGGGCATCGACCTCACGGTTCTGGGGGCTACAGGGTTCAGGGTGGGGGCTAGGCTCTGCCCACGTTCCCTCAGGGCAGGTGGGGCCAGTCTCAGGGCACAGGCCCAGCTGCCCTCTGCTCCCCAGGAGCTGGAGTGCCCGACCTCACAGCGGCCCTGCCCAGGGCACCTCCCAGCTGGGGCAGCACTGACGACCTGGGCCTGCGTCCCACCAGCCATGGTACCAGCCCCAGCCCTGGGCAGGCTCTTCCACAGCCGGGAGAGGCCGGTGCCCCACGCCTGGGAGGCCCCTGCACCCCACCAGGCGGGAGAATCCCACCAATGCCTGGTCTCCAGGGCCCACCTCGCAGAGCCAAGGTCAGCAGGGGAGGGCAGGATGCTGGGCTTACCTTGTCATCCGGGCCGCTCTCGCTGTCACACTGCAAGGACAGAGAGAGAGAAGTGAGTCAGGGCCCCACACCCACCAGTGTCACTGCCAGGGCACAGTGGCAGCCAGGCTGCAGGGGCATGGGAGGGGCAGCCCTGGCTGCTGTGGGAGAGGGAGGTGCCAGCAGGTCCAGGTCCAGGGCGGTCAGGAGGAAGCTGGGCCTGGGCCCGGGGCTGCACCAGGTGCCAGGGGATGGACAGAGGGGCACTGGCAGGCCGATTCCCCAGCAGCAGGGGCAAGACCGGCCCTGTAGCCCAAGAGGAGGCCTCACCGGCCAGACCCTCAGAGCAGTCATGGGGTCCCAGGGCAACCATGAAGACCCCCATCACAGGCCAGCCAGAACCTTCCCTGTACCAGGAAGGAGGCAGCCTCCTACCCAGGCCAGCCCTGCTGTCCCCTGTGACCCTTAGGGGATCGATGGCGCCACATGGGCTGGGAGACCCGGGACCCCCAGTGCCTCATGGTGGTGGAGCCTGGGAGCCCCTGGGGTCAGAACAGCCCGGGGGCCAGCGGCACAGGGAGGGCCTAGCCGCTCAGGGTTGGACACAGGAGACCAGCACCCTCGGTCAGCTCAGCTGGTTCGGGTGGGGGTGTGATAATCCCGAAAACAAATTTCTGTTTTCCACGTTCAGTAGGCAGAGCTTTACTGAGGACACAAAACTATCGGAAACCCAGCCGTTTCCCCTAAGAAAGTAAAAAAGGGGAAAAACCCCTTGCTAGCAACTGCAGTTATGATGCATTCACGTCATATGAATGGCATGGGGGGAAGTATCTGCCCAGCGCTCAGGAGGGGCGAGCTCCGGTCAGACATGCGTGCAGCACTCTCTCGTGGGGGTCCACACAAACGCGTGGCCACCCACCATGCCTGGCACGGCTGCAGTTTTCAGTGATCACGTTCCTGGCACTGTGTGAAACGCTTTAGCTGCAGACACTCTGCAGCCATAAAGTGCCACTGCCCGAGAGTGGCGAGTGACACCCCAGGTCCTGGCCTGGGACCCCTGGGTGAGCCGGGCAGCTGGGGTGGGCCCCTGGGGGGGTCCTGAGGCTGACAGGCTCCCCCAGGCTGTCTGTCCCCGCTGTGTGCTGCTCTGGTGGGCCAGGCTGAGACTCCCAGGGTGGGCGTCCTTTCCCACACAGGAGGAAGGTGGGAGCCTCTTCTGGCTGCACAGCCATGGCTAAGCCCTTTCTGAGGGTCCCCCCAGTCTGGCCTTTAGGGTGACAGACAGAGAAGAGCCTCAGCCCCTCCTGCACCCACACAGCCAAGCCCACCACACAGGCACTGAGGAGTCTGAGTCAGAAGTGGGCCCACCCTGCCCCGGAGGCCAAAGGTGTGGAGCTCACCAAGGGCTGGGCCACAGACCCCAACATGCAGACCAGCCTTGCTGGCAGCTCTGGGCCCCTGGAGGCCTCCATCTCTGTGCTGTGATATGGGACAGCCTTGGTGTTTAAGAGGGAAAGTATGGAACGAACTGCCCAGGCTCAGCCAGGAGCAAAGGAAGCCAAGACCAGGATGTGGGGCCAGGGAGGGCCCAGGCTAGGCACGCAGCTGCGTGCAGGGAACAGAGGAGGAGAGAAACACGCCAGGACGGAGGGGACCGCCAGGGCTGGAAGAGGGCAAAGCAGGAGCTGTGACTGAGCTGAGGGTGCCCTCTGCGCACGGGGAGGCTGGCAGGGCAGAGCGGGGGCACACCCTAGAGGCAGGCTAGGAGGTGGCCCTGCCGGCACCCGGAGGCCTGCAGGGGCATCAGGTGCCAGTCTGACCTCAGCGTGGGACTTCTGGGGACCCCAGTAAGGCCTCTTGCAGCTCAATTTGCACTGCAGAGCCCTCAAGTTGGGAACTGCAAACCCACCAGACCATCAGCGTATTGGCCAACCAGACCTCGAGAGTGGCCTGACACATGGGGCCACCTGGGTGCACTGGCGACCTGTGGGCACCTGACCAGTTCAGCCCCTGCTGCTGTCCCTGCACCCAGATCCCTGCTTGAGCCTCAGTTGGCCCCAAGACCCATGAGCCAGAGCCAGTGGCTCCCACAAGCCCAGACCTGGTTACAAATCTCCCCACAGCTTTCAGGTCTTTGGCTGGACCCAGCCAGGCGGGTCACGCAGGCCAAGGTTTAATGTATCCAACAGCACGGAGGCAGTGAGGGGTGCTGTCCAGCAAGAGGATGCTGCGGGGACCCTCCAATTAACCAGAGGCACGGCACTGTCAGCCAGGCGCAGGCAGGGGCAGGAACGAATTCACGTTATTAGGTCCTACTGAATTAATGTGTAACTGCAGTGGAGTCGGCGTTGAATGAGGCAATTAATCAGGGTGAGGAGGAAAAGGAGACTCGTCTGCCCTCGGGAGCTGCCGGCGTGAGGCAACCTCCCCGGGGCTGGGGCTGGGCTCGGTGGCCAGGGAATGCTACCCTGGTGTGGGTACGGGATAGGCGGGGATGCCCAGGAGCAAGGACAGACCCAGGCCCCAAAGGGACACGCTGGGCACAGCCGGGAGGAAGACCCAGGCTCCAAAGAAGATGCCTGTTCCGGGCCGCACTGCACCTACACTGGGCAAGTCCCTGGACCTCTCTGTGTCTCAGCTGATGCTTCTGCAAACAGGAATAACTTCCAGGGTTGCCACTGACAGCTCATTGGATTATCGTGTGGCTTAAATAAGCGAGCGTGTGCAGGGCACTAAAGCAATGCTTGATGCAGTGTATTAAACACACACGACGGTGTCACCACCACCATTCTCATCGTCACCATTCTCGTCACCACCACCATCCTCATCGTCACCATCCTCATCGTCACCATCCTCATCGTCACCACCATTCTCATCACCACCACCATCCTCGTCACCATCCTCGTCACCATCCTCGTCACCACCACCATCCTCATCGTCACCACCATCCTCATCGTCACCACCACCATCCTCATCGTCACCATCCTCATCGTCACCATCCTCGTCACCACCATTCTCATCACCACCACCATCCTCATCGTCACCATCCTCGTCACCACCATCCTCGTCACCACCACCATCCTCATTGTCACCACCATCCTCATCGTCACCACCACCATCCTCGTCACCATCCTCATCACCACCACCATCCTCATCGTCACCACCATCCTCATCGTCACCACCACCATCCTCATCGTCACCATCCTCGTCCCCATCACCATCCTCGTCCCCATCACCATCCTCGTCCCCACCACCATCCTCGTCCCCACCACCATCCTCGTCCCCACCACCATCCTCGTCCCCACCACCATCCTCGTCCCCACCACCATCCTCATCGTCACCACCATCCTCGTCACCACCATCCTCGTCACCACCACCATCCTCATCGTCACCATCCTCATCGTCACCACCATCCTCATCACCACCACCATCCTCGTCACCACCACCCTCGTCACCACCACCATCCTCGTCATCACCACCATCCTTGTCACCACCACCTTCATCGTCACCACCACCACCGTCACCATCGTCACCACCATCCTCATCACCATCCTCATCGTCACCCTCCTCCTCAATGGCACTATCATCACAACCATCTTCACTGTCCCCACAATCACCATCAGTCCATCACCATATTATCCTCACCGTCACCATCATGTCACCTTCATCTTCACCACCGTCATCATCACCATCATGAATGTCTGCTCACAAAACCCAGAATGAGACACCATCTACCCTGGATTAGGGGCCCCCTCGCCCGGGGGTTTTAGAGGTGACTCCGTGGATTAGGGGCCCCCTCGTCTGGGGGTTTTAGTGGTGACTCCGTGGATTAGGGGCCCCCTCATCTGGGGGTTTCAGAGATGACTCCGTGGATTAGGGGCCCCCTCGTCTGGGGGTTTTAGAGGTGACTCCGTGGATTAGGGGCCCCCTCGCCTGGGGGTTTTAGAGGTGACTCCGTGGATTAGGGGCCCCCTCGCCTGGGGGTTTTAGAGGTGACTCCGTGGATTAGGGGCCCCCTCGCCTGGGGGTTTTAGAGGTGACTCCGTGGATTAGGGGCCCCCTCGCCTGGGGGTTTTAGAGGTGACTCGGTGGATTAGGGGCCCCCTCGTCTGGGGGTTTTAGAGGTGACTCCGTGGATTAGGGGCCCCCTCATCTGGGGGTTTTAGAGGTGACTCCGTGGATTAGGGGCCCCCTCGCCTGGGAGTTTTAGAGGTGACTCCGTGGATTAGGGGCCCCTTGCCTGGGAGTTTTAGTGGTGACTCCGTGGAGTAGGGGCCCCTCGCCTGGGGGTTTTAGTGGTGACTCCGTGGAGTAGGGGCCCCGTCGTCTGGGGGTTTTAGAGGTGACTCCATGGATTAGGGGCCCCCTCGTCTGGGGGTTTTAGAGGTGACTCCGTGGATTAGGGGCCCCTCACCTGGGGGTTTTAGTGGTGACTCCGTGGAGTAGGGGCCCCGTCGTCTGGGGGTTTTAGAGGTGACTCCATGGATTAGGGGCCCCCTCGTCTGGGGGTTTTAGTGGTGACTCTGTGGATTAGGGGCCCCCTCGTCTGGGGGTTTTAGTGGTGACTCCGTGGATTAGGGGCCCCCTCGTCTGGGGGTTTTAGAGGTGTCTCCGTGGAGTAGGGGCCCCCTCGTCTGGGGGTTTTAGTGGTGACTCTGTGGAGTAGGGGCCCCCTCGTCTGGGGGTTTTAGAGGTGTCTCCGTGGAGTAGGGGCCCCCTCATCTGGGGGTTTTAGTGGTGACTCTGTGGATTAGGGGCCCCCTCGCCTGGGGGTTTTAGAGGTGTCTCTGTGGAGTAGGGGCCCTGTCGTCTGGGGGTTTTAGAGGTGACTCCATGGAGTAGGGGCCCCGTCGTCTGGGGGTTTTAGAGGTGACTCTGTGGATTAGGGGCCCCCTCATCTGGGGGTTTTAGAGATGACTCTGTGGATTAGGGGCCCCCTCGCCTGGGGGTTTTAGAGGTGACTCCGTGGATTAGGGGCCCCCTCGTCTGGGGGTTTTAGAGGTGACTCCGTGGATTAGGGGCCCCCTCGCCTGGGGGTTTTAGAGGTGACT